CTCTCATGGGATTAATTCACATGGCTTCAACACTCCAAGTTCTGGAGCCCACATTCCAGAGTCACAGAACGGCGCCAAGAGTTTGTTTGGGGGGACAATAAACCCCCCCTCCGAAGACTTTTATGGTCCTGCAGATAGCAACAGAATGCCACAGGAAGAAACGTGTCAATATGTTAATGTTTTTACTGAGACAGGTCAGCTCCAAAATGGTGGAACAGAGGCTCACAACAAAGACTTCTTTGATCCCCTGACAGAGATGTTACACAGAACACCTTCCTCTACCCCTACTCCTTGAACCTACCACGACCTCACTGTTGAGATCGGAGATCTCACACATAAAATCATATAAACTCACCACAGAACAATTCTTGGACCTATAACCAATCATAATTCTTGTTGTTCCTACACTTCATGTGTTATTATGCTTAGATCACATAATAACCATGTAATTGTTGTTAACTATTAACTCTTGTAATTGTTATACAACCATTAGAAGTGTGAATGCCTCGTTTGCTCTTAAACGAACCGTATTCTCGTGATTCAAAAGATGGCTTGATTGAAATCTGCGTAAAAGGTTTTGTTTTATGATTATAATAATCATAAGGTTTAAACTATGGTCTTTTGTCTCTGCTAAGTGCTGGAGACCAGCTCACAGACCATGCATAAATTATGATAAAGCAAGAAGTAGATCCGCCTCCAATTGGCCAGAAGCTTCTTGGAGGTTGGACTAGAGTTTAAGTTAAAGATCCGAACAAAGGACCTCATGTTCAGATTTTTGGAAGATTTTTGCAGAATTTTGCTAGATGATTTTAGATTTTCATTCAGTTCTGTAACTGTTAAGTCCGTGCCTCTCTCTAAAACCAGCAAGAGAGTGTTCTGTTCGTGCTTATCTCTGAAACAAAGAACATGTCCACATGCTTCTACATCGACTAGACCAAATTCGACCAGCAGACGAATAACCCATCAAGATCAGGGTTACAATTCAGCTCAGTCAAGCCATCCGACTCGCCTTGCTTTCATTTCTTTCCTTTATTTCCTTTTTCGTAAAAGTCTCGTTTCAAAGTTAAGTTTGCAACGCGCTTCGAATTGGAAAAGACTCTCATTCGCTTGCTAATCACACGTGACCAGCGGCGGAACTTCCATCCCTGCACTTCAAAGACAACCCGCCACGAGGACCCGGGGAACCCCCCTTCGACGCGACGCAGACAAAGGAAATTCCCTCAGCCACTACAAAGCGCAAGTACTCCAGGCTCTAACTGAACTGGTGCTTTAATGTTAATTGAATAGCCTCTCTAAGAAATGAAGGTTCAAATTAATGCTTGGTGGTCCTTTCAGGTTATGTCTTACGTGCATATAGAAAGTTAAAACTTTCTCTCTCACTCTTTCCAACTCACTCTTTCCCTTTCGCGACTGTATGAATGTGTGTGTGTGTGTGCGTGATTATGTTTAGACCTTAGAGTTGTGTTTAGAATAGCTAATAAAGTCTCCCATATATACAAAAAGATAAATCTTCTTGTGTCGTGTTTGCACATTTAATGTCTTGTACTGTTCGATTTAAAGTTACCTTGCTAAGACATAGTGTTTCACTATAGATTTGGTTATAATTACGGCCCGTTCAAATGAATTCTAAGCGAGTCATTTGCTCGGTTCAGTGATTCGGTTCCATAGATTCATTGCAAATCAATGAATCATTTCCCTTTGAGCTAAATTGGCCTTCGGCCCCCTTAAATACATTTTATGTATATTATTAAATGTTGCATTTGCTACAACAGAGATGAGAAAGTTACAAGCAACAATTAAAGTCGTGTGTGTGTGTGTGTGTGTGTGTGTGTGTGTGTGTGTGTGTGTGTGTGTGTGTGTGTGTGGTTCTCACTTGATTTACAGCATTTATCATGTTATTATTGTTGTTGTTGTCAGGGTTATGTTTAGTTTTGCTGTTTTTCTTCATATTTGAGTTTCTCTTGATCTTTATTCCCTTTTTCTGTTAACAAACAAGTATTGATTACTTCTATGAGATTATCATGTTTAAATGAACACATTTTCCACTAACTGTGATTTGTGTGTGTGTGTGTTTCTGAAGTGTGTAACTTAGACAGTTTCCTCTGATAACAGATCTCTAGATTATAATGTGTGTTTTCTGCTTTGAAATGATGTGTATTGTGAAAAGCGATGTACAAATAAATGTGAAGTGAATTAAAAGAGTTTTATCTTATAAATCTGTTGCTTCTTTCACACAGTTTCACATTTCTTCAATCTTCAATTGTTAAGGTGTAATTTCAACAATATTGTGTTACGATCTCTGTGTGTGAAAATACAAAAGTGAGGAAAACATTATTGAGAATAAAAGTCTTATTGTGCTTATATTCAACATTTACCATTAGCTTTTCTTTTACGATGTTTACTTCTGTTAAACCACTGTTATTAATATTTTATGTATTATTATTAGTAGTATTAGTAGTCTGCTTATTTTAGGTAGGTGTTTATATGTCTCTATTTATTCCATACATCAAGATTTTCACATCCAGTGTTTTCTAGTAGTTAAAGCAACTTCCTGACTACAAACATGTCAAGTTTTAAAGCTCTCAGAGTTTGTGTGATTGATCTGCACTAGTTTTTATATCTTAACTCCCATACGGACAGGCTATATTTTAGTCCTTTTTTGTTTTAGGGTGTATAAAAATATCTGTTAATTTAACAATCTTAGCATTCAAATATTAGCCAAGTATTCATTTCATATATGGGAGACCTTAGGGATGAGGAAAAACATTGTAGCGTTTAGTTCTACTTCCGGTAGGGGTCTCTCAAAAACTAAAGCACTTTTTGACCATTCGTCACTAGCCTAAAATATTTATTAGTGCTTCACACTCCCGTCCAGCTGGTGGCGGTAATGCACCGAAAGTTGGTTTGCCAACCGCTATAAAACTCCATTAGAAGAAGAAGAAGGCGCGTCGTTACGGAAATTACGTGTCCAGGCGGAAGTGACGAGCCGTTGTGATGGATGAGCCGCTGCTGCTGTTGTGATGCTCCTCTTCTGAAGGAAAGCTCATTTCTCCAGCAACATCCAGCATGAACTGATCGCTGCACGGACTGACAGCTGTGATTGTGAGTTCAGTCCTCCGTGTTTTATTGATTATATGATCTGTAGTCTGTCAGTTTATAATGAGACGCACGAGCAGCGCCTGTAGTTTATATCATCTGTGTTCAATAAGAATCTGTTTTAGCACTTCGACACAGAAATCTTCCTCTAAACACACATGAACATCTGATAGATTAGCAAACACATTACTGAATGATAATGTGACACACATGAGTGTGTGTTTTAATGACAAACTAAGTGTAATTATAGAAATATCTAATCAAAGTATTTATAATATTGGTAAAACTTTACAGTGAGTTTTCATTAGTTAACATGAACTAACAATGAGCAGTACATCTGTTCATCTTTATGTTATTTATGTCATTTGTACATTATTAAATCAACAGTTCTGTTAACATTATTTAATGGACCATTATTGAACAGTTGTGTTTTAAACTTATTAAAAGTGATGTTTTCTAACGAGATCTTATTGTAAAGTGTTACCAAAGTATTATTTCTGTTTTATTATATTTGTTCAGCCGAACCCCATTAATAATCGATTGAGCTGCTATGAGTGTTTAGAGCTGACGGAGGTGGTGTGTGTTTCTCAGGAGTGTGTGTGTGATGGCTGGGAAGGTGAAGTGGGTGACGGACATGGAGAAATCGGTGCTGATCAATAACTTTGAGAAGAGAGGATGGATCCAGGTGACGGACAGCGACGACTGGAACTTCTACTGGCAAGAGCTCGTTTCATTTCATCCGTTCACACTGACACTGCAAAGCTGAAGTACACACTGAAGCACTTGATCAGATCAGTGCTAGGGCTGAATCCAGTTTCACACACACACTACTGGTGTTCAGATGAACTGTTTGAGCCGTTCACGGTGGACTGTGGTCGTACGACTGTGTCCTGAGGGAAATACTACTGTGCTGTATGAGTGGGGGATTCACACATAAACTTGCTTTAAATATTTCACAGATGTTTTCAGACATTACAAATAAAGTCTGGAGGATTCGTGAACATTACTTTAAAAACATTTACTAATTTAAGACTTTTTTCAACATAATTTCCAAAACCTGTCCTAAAAAATCTCATTAACGCAACAGTCTGAAAACATCAACACTGTTAGAATAGCAAACATTTTCACATCTTTAAAAATGGATTATTAACAGTCATGCACATTTACTTTATATTTATATCAAATAATATTTATTTTTAAATTATTTTTTTGTGTGATTTCTCTCATTTCCCGCAACCCCTTGCTCCTACAATTTACAATATACAATTTTTATATAATTTAATGGAAATATATTTTCGAAATGATATGACCTGAAAGATCATAATGTGTAGATTCTGTGCATACATTTATAACTAAAGTAATATTTTCTATTAATTAATTTAACATTTAATGAACTTCTGTTGTGGTGATGATACACAAGTTATGGATATGAGGTTGATTATTTCAGTAATGATAATAAGTATACTAGGCTTTTGTTAAAAACAGAATAATATTTTCAGGTTCAGATCAGTTTTATTTTGTAGTGCTTCAAAAATACACAATCAAAGAACAAAACAAAGAGTGGCAGGTTGTAGATCTGGAATAATGGCTTTAGTTAGTTCACCCAAAAATGAAAATTATGTCATTAATGAAACTGATCACTTAAAAACACACCTTACATGTATTTCCTATAGTAGTAACTATAAATCAAGCAGAATTACATGCAATTAACCCTCAACCAAATCCTGATCCTTTCAAAAAAAAAAAAAAAACAGTAAGTACATGTGGTTAATTAATATTACTCAGTACTTAAATCTTTAATTTCACTTTAACACGGACAAATGCAAATAAAGTGTAACGAAAATAAAAATGATTAAACTGGAATAAAACTCACCCATTTGCGGATGTCTTTCTCCAATCCAGGCCAGTATAATCTGCTGCTGAGAGCTTCAAGTGTTTTCTCCATGCCACAATGACCCCCCTGATCACTGGCATGAAGGTTAACAAAAACAGAATTTGCCTCCTCTGGTGACGTCACCACTTTTGCCAAATGTTTGCCTCGCTTGCGCCTGTGGCATATATAGTGAAGCAGGCCATCTAATGTGGATAACACAAAGGCTCAGGTAACTTCCTGTGCTTGTGTCACTAGAATACCAATTTCCTTTCTCTATTATTGCTTACCTTTCATTAGATAGCTTTCAGCTCTTCTTTTAATAATGAACTTCTCCTTTTTGGAACATCCAGGAGGATATGGTCCATGAAGAAGAACATTTTTTAGCTCCCTCACCTTTACAGGGTCCATCTAAAGCACTGGTTCAATCGTGGTCCTGAGGAGCCACAGCTCTGCATAGTTTCTGTGTCTCCCTCATCTAACACACCCGATTCACATCATCATCTCGTTAGTAAAGATAAGTTACTGAATTGGGTGTTTCAGATAAAGGAGACATATAAAATATGCACAGCTGTGGGTCCCCAGGGCCACAATTGAGAACCACTGATCTGTATTACCCCTTTATTAAGCAATGGCCATATTTTCCATTTATATGTTATAGTACACTGTAAATCTACATGCCTGTCCTTCAATCAACTCACTATCAGCACTGCATATGTCCTCTCATTAAATCACAACTCTTCACATTTATCAAGTATATGTTGATAATATGGAGCATCTGCAGGTGGTAATTAGCTATTATGTGCATAGTCAAACTGCCAACTTAATGATTGTAACAAGAATGCATCTCCTTAATGATTAGTATCTTGGCAAGTATTAGACAGCTGATTTGAAGACAAGAAACTAGTAAAGGTTTGCAAGGCCTATTTGAACAAACTAACACTTTTTGTAGGATTATAACATGTCATTAAAGTGTAGTAAGGCAGTCAGATTTAATGACAGCCTGACAGAGGATTTAATGAAATGTTGAAACTCAGGGATGTGGTTGACATGAAAGTGTGTAACATAGGCTTTAGTTAGTTTGCATTGAATATAGATGGCACTACAAAGAACCGACATTTACCTTGCAGTAATAACAATAGTAATAATAATAGGTTGCGGTACTTTTCACTACAGTATACTTTATATTTTTACAGTATATTTTTTTATGTTTGAGAATATTATATTTGTATTGGTCCTCAATGTCTTTGTCAGTGTCTCACATCATGTCTCATTACAGATTTACATGCTGAGAACATCATAGTTTTGAATACAAGCACAACCCAAATTGCCAATTCCCACTACAATCATTGAAGGTCATGATAATGTTGTTTTCCTTAATATGTGTCGGCAGCATTTTGATTGTGCATATGAAATATATTTGGGGACATAAATTACATATTTTAGGTATAACATTTGGCAGAACTTAACACAGGCACATTGCCTTGAAAGTGCTAAATGTCTTCCCAGATTTATAGCACCTGTGAGCAATGATTTCACTGGGAATTTGTTAGCCAGTGCTTGTGTTAGCAAAAAAAAAAAGTTTTACTGGCAGCAATGTTATAATGCAATCACCTGTAAAATGACCAGCTGTATATATTTTCTTACAGCAAAACTCTCAAAAATGCAGAAACCATTTCAAGTGGTTTAAAGGGTTGCATGGGGAATAGCTCCCATGGAAGTTGTCACTCACTCATAATTATTACACATTTTTCATGGTGTAAAATATTTGTATTATAGATGTAAGAATACCCCTAACAATGTACCGCTACATCACAACATACTTTTATTATGAGGCGTCCTTCCTTATGTACATTACCACTGTTTCATTACTGTGCAGTGTGGCTTTTTTGTAAAGTTATGATCAAACCACTATGATCTTTTAACATAGTCATTTACATCTTTCAAGTGCTGCACCCTTAACAGGGTTAATGTTGTTTTGACTGAAAATTCAGTGATTTAACCAGTTTCTAAAATGTTAAAAGTGTGTTTTACACCACTACAAATGCTTAAATACAGCATGTCAGAAATTCATAGCTATTTTCAAGACCGTCAATATATTATAAAGCCTCTATACTTTAGCAACAACAGGTGCTTAGAAGTACTGGGGGGAAAATTACATTACTGAGACACCAGATAAGTAGTTTTAGATAACAAATGAGTGAAATATTGAGAAATAGCTGATCCCACTCTCAGTCGGACACATAGTCAGGTGACACATAGTCACAACACAGAGAAGCAGAGAGAGAAACATCCGTGTGTGTTTGTGTGAAGTCGAACTGCCATGGATAAACACAACAGCTTTTTACTTTTATCTGGGCTTTCAACAAAATTCGTCACACGTGCTAGTGTCAGTGTTTCTGAGGTGTTTCCGTGCTCGTCTAGTCAACACTATCTGGGTCGAGAACACAACAGTAACCGTTCGGTCTCCCTCTTCACCGTAAATACGCTCTGGATACATTTTAAGTGCATCATTCTGTATCCAATCATTTGGCCGGATCCTGTGATTTCCTCAGATTTAATAACCACTAATGGTTGAGGAGAGATTCTCTGTTATGATTGTAAAGCACTTTGAGTGTAGGCCTATAGACATATGAAAGCGCTATATAAATGCCCCATTAATTCATTCATTCATGAAGCTGGATTTCTCCATCCAGTCTGAAAAGTGTTTTCCGGGTTGGTTTTCCTATAGGCTAAAGTCTATTCCGGCGCAGTATATTTTATAACGTCCTATAATGGTAGCCTAATGCTGGTAGATTGGCACCTGTTGAATTTCCTTTGATGAAACAAAACACACACACACACACACACACACACACACACACACAGTGTGAAACTCGCTATTGCCCATTATGAATGCCTGTGTGTGGCAATGTGAGACAATGGCAAGCACACACGCGCAGCTTCTACGGAAGACTGTATTCTCGTACTCTCGTCTCTCGAAATGTTTCGACTTTAATCTCGAAATGCTGGACTTTTTTTTACAGATTTTTTTTTTTTACAGATATTTTTTTTTTTCAGATTTTTTTTTTAGGTTGCGGTTCAGGGCTTCCGTATAATTACAGTAACGTGAGTAATTGAAATTCGCTACTTTCCACCTCTGTAAATCAGTATTTCAAGAAATGCCTTAATAACTTTATCACTATAATGTTTAGGCATAACAATTAACATGTAAAGTAAGTTGCACTCCTGCTACGAGACTGGATCGTCTTTCGGCCGGAAAATGAAGACAGGCTGAAGGGGTTAAAGCTTCTGAGGACGGAGTGGGCAAAGTGTTGAGCCGTATTCATCAACCCTACCACATTGCAAGACAGCAGGTAAGGTTATCATAGCACTGTTTTCTTCCTGCGTTTCCACATTCATATTTCTAGTGTCACTGGATTCGATTGGAGGCTCTGCTCTTTATTCACCCGTTGGTAAATCGTAGCTCTGCTCCAACTGCTCCATTACAAAATGTGTTAGAAAACATCAAAAGCGATTAAACATTATAACCCGTATCAAACAGATAATGAAAAATGCAAACCAGAGATGGTTAGACATGTTCCTGGCCATTCCAACATAACACCACAACAGATGATTTTATTAACAAGTTCATCTTCCTCATGAAATCAGCAGCTGTGGTGTTTGCTAAAATGCAGACTTTGCAGCCTCTGTAGCGTCCCAGTAACATGGATGCCATCCTTGCTGAAACACTCTGTTTGTATCTGGTTGAAAGAAGACAGGAGAGCAGAAAGACCCTTACCCTGGTGCAGCTTGGAGTCAAACTCTTGAGCTCTGCATTTCAGACAGTGATCTGCGGTTAACAGCCACTGCTCCACACATGTTCAACATCCAAGCAGAGACTCGCAGCATGTGGAAAACATGGGCTCTTCCATTAGAGCTGCAAGGTTATAATCTAAGAAAATATGCAGAATGACATTTATTACTTTATTTCAATATAAAAAGGAAATGAACATGTACTGTATATGTACCTACTGTACATAACTTACACACACGTTTACTAAGATTAGACCGGTGAAGGTGTCCTTTAAAGTGTGCAGACAAGCATCTGGCGTTGTTTTGGCCTTTGCAAGCTCAGACAGCTGGTTTATGGTTGTAGTGATGTCTTGAGGCTCTCTTGCTTTAGTTGGTTCATTTTACCAATGACCTCTTGTGCACTCAAACTGTCTTCAGTCCTTCCACTTAAATGAAGGATCAGGAAAGAAATGATTCAAGATGTGTTCATATGGTGTATACTGTATGCACAAATGATTAAATACCTTTCTGAATATTATACTCCAGAATAGTGTCAACCTAAGATACATTCTCTTGTTGTAAAGTTACATTTCTGTTGAGTAAATAGTCTTATAATTAAATCATAGTGAATAAGTTCATGACAAGACTCATATCTGTTGTATTAGTTTGCTTTAGCTCTTCTTCCATTCTGTAACTCTACAAAGTCATATTCAGAGATGGCAGATTTTTCTGGAGTTCTGTTTCCAGTATTGGGAACCTTAGGAATCAGAAAATATTGACTTCACTTTTGTATTTAATGGGCACCTATTATGCAAAATTCACTTTTACAGCCAGAGACAGCTGTTCATTTATTTTCTGCCCTTATTTGTCTTTTGGGCAAAATGTACTTGATTTCATTGTTGGAAATGTTGATAAAAATATTACATTAATGTGGAAAGATGTTCTACTAGGTATAATTGTACACTGGGTTTTATAGGGGTGGTGATGGCGCAGTGGATAAGACACATGCCTTTGGTGTGAGAGACCCGGGTTCGAATCCACTGTGAGACACCAATGTGTCCCTGAGCAAGACACTTAACCCCTAGTTGCTCCAGAGGCATGCGACCTCTGATATATATAGAAATTGTAAGTCGCTTTGGATAAAAGAGTCAGTTAAATGAATAAATGTAAATGTAAAACTCCAAAGAAAAAACATTCATAAATGTACATTTTCAGGAGGAAAATGTTTTATTGCATTTATAAATTAGTGAAGCATTATTTTGAGTAAATATTGCCCTCAAATAAACAAAAAGCTACTCTAATTTTACAAGCATGTACACTCTTTAAAGTATTCCTATAATGCTGTTTATACCTCCCCCTAGCATTTTAAATGTATTGTTTATTTTGATATTTCTTCAATAAAAGAATAAGAAGAATAAAAGGTGTGGGAAAGTCTGAAAACAAACATCAGCACTCTTAATAGGTGAGTTATGTTGTACAATATACATATGCTGTTCTTCCACAGAAACAGGACTGAAACTAACTAGCTATTTAAAAAAATTAATTGTGACTTTAATCTCACAATTTGTACGTTCTCAGAATTATGAGATATGATGAGTTATAGAGTTCCGAGTTGTGAGAGATAAACTCGCAGTTCTGTTTCTCGCCAGTTGAGCTGTGGTGGCGCTAATGCTCCTAAAGCTGGTTTCCCAATAGTCAACGAACAAGAGAAGAAGAACAAATCGAAACTGAAAGTTTGCGATCGTCTTCAGACAAGACGCCATTTTCAGACTACCATTGTGAAGTCAAACATGTAATTTATTATTACTTGAGAAATTACTGAAGAGAATTCTCTTTCGGTTTCGCCGAATTGACGGTCATAGATGGTGTTACGGAAAGGCACGAAGAGCGCCGTCTTCCGGGTGACGTCATCCGGCATCTGTCGGAAAAAGCCGAACCCTAATTACGAGCGCACCTGATAAAGATTGATTCCTCAGAGGGCATTAGAGACCAAGCACAGGCAAAAACAAGAGAAATGAGAACAATGCTTGTCGCTTGCAGGCTTTTCCAGCTTCCCTCCTTTTACAAAATGGGGAAATCTTTGTAACTGGACGTTATGAGGTGTATGAGAGAGAAATACAACGCAAATCGGATGTGCATCAGTGATTAATCAACCCTAGGCGTTGCTGGTAGGATGACTGCTTGACGCTTGATTGATTTATATTGCGATGAGACATTTTACACGATTGTGAATAAGAGTATTATCTATAAATGAATTTAAAATGTCTAGTAGAATGTGTATATTGCTGTGATGTAATGTCAATATCCGTTTATAATTAGATCTTGTTTTTTTTCTCTTCCTGTTTTTCTTTTAAAAAGCTTATCAACCTAGTTTGAGCTTGAAGCCTTCTACCAAAGAATTTACTGTTTGAAGATAATCTAACTGCAAATGAAGCTCATCTGTTCCAATGTATTGTGACATGAATGGAAAGAAGAGACTGCAAGTTAAGATTGTAACAACTTTAATGAAGAGTGAAAGTAAAAGCCATTTTTGAGATGATTCCTGTGTCCGTGGTTGACTAAGCATTTTTTCAAGTTTAAAGCAGAACTGATGTGTGAAATCCCCCCAGAAACTTGACTACCATAAACCAAAACACCTCCGTCGTAATTATTGGTAAGTTCAGCGATGTCCTTCTCATAATAACTGCTATGATGTTGTGATGTTTGTGTGTCGGCATTAGATGAGATTATATCTAGGCTTTTTCCTGTCGAGTCGACTGTGTGTTAGCGTAGACTGCGCGCGTTTTACATCACT